CAGTGGGACAAAAAATTGTCTGTGCATGAGCAGTAAAAAATCTATGATTTAAAAAATATGATCAGTGAAGCAGGAGCCAGCATCCTTAAGACACGATTACTTAGGTAATTTGTTCCTAAGTTGGCCTTAAAATCCAACCAGCCCTTGAAAGCCACCCAGACATAGAAGGGGCTGCTTGCTGCTTCTCACAAGGCGGTAGCCAAGTTTGCCATTGGTCCAGTTCTGCTTTCCCAGTGGACTATTTCTGTGGACAGAAGAAGAGGCATGGGCTGCAATCCTAAAATCACCTTCCTGGGGAAAGCCCCCCACCCATAGAATAAAATGGGACTTCTGAGTGAACTTGTTTAGGATTGATCCTATGGTGGACTTCTGCCTAGAAACCATAAGTGATCATGGCTCTTCACCATGTGTCCCATTAAATATTACAGTGTTCAGTGGAGGTGTCAACTGGAAGACTTCAGCTGCCAAGGAACTACACTAGCAGAGGACTCAATAGTATACAGTATAAAGCCGATCACATTCTGAAGAATGCATGCATGCATGCATGAAGTTTAGGTCAAGCTGCACGCTTCTGAAGACAATGGAACTCTGTTTTTGAACCCTGCTTCCTGAGAGACTCACAATGGTTAAATCTAGGAACGATTTAATGAACATCATGTGTCAGCTTCCACTGTGGTGCCTGATATTTCAGATACTGTTGAGGGGGACAGAAAGTTTTTGGTATAACACCTGTTATCTTTTGATATACTGGAAAACCTACTTAGGAGAATAAAGGTTACATAACATGTGGCATAAATCAAATGTTATGCATAAAGCAGCCTTTGTTCTCAACTATGCTTTACTACTTGCTGGGCTGTAGCCACACACAGTTGAATGTGGTGGTAGAACAATCACTAGTAACTGGATTGCTTTCTCCACACAGGAAAATTCAAGTGTGAATGACTGCTATAGTGCAATGGTAGTGCAATAGCTAATGGCGTGTGGATGCATCCTGGGTGTGTCAGTATAGTACTGTTGGCACACTGTACACCACTGTAGTGGCACTGCAGAAAACCAGGCCGATGCCTCTTACAGACAACCCCACCCTTCAGCAGTCCCCTTTCTAAGGCCCATTTTCAGTGTGTACATCTAAGGCCGCATATATTGTAGAACATTCTTCTCTCGCAGCAGTCCAAAGCACTTCTTTTATACACCCTAGATTCTTTGGCTCTTCCTTTAACTGATGTGGCCAATTAACTTCTAGGTAAACTGGCAGGTGTTCTACCTTCAGGCTTTGTACACCTTTTGGCAAAAAGGACAAAGGGAATCAAGAACACACTTAATAAGCACCTTTCAAAAGTGCCAAGCGACCTAAGTCAACTGTAGGTCCTTATCTTCATTTTTTTCAAACCAAGTCCCCCAAACAGCATCTTTCTTAAGAGTCAAGAGCGGCCATTATCCGCATTGTTAAAATAAATGAATAAAAAGCAGGTGCCTGATGCAGGAGCTCTACTTTTCACTGCCATTAAATCGCACCAGTGTCTCTCCCAGGCACAACCTACCAAGAGAAAGTGCCGTCAAGTCCCCCTGTTTTGTATTTCTATGTATGCAGTGTCATGGTCTGTGCTCTCCCCTCCCTGGTACAAAAACATTCACCAAGAGTTCTAGTGGCAGCGCTCCGATTCCCTTCATGGTGTGTAAGGAGGCGGCTTTTCAAAGGGCGGGAAATACGGTGGGGAGTAGCGAGGAGGTGCCGTGGGAGACCACACATAACTCGGAGATGGCGATAACGATGGTGGGTCATCTGATGGTTAACGAAGTAATAGAAGCAGTAAAAGGTAAGAAGGATTCATTTAAGCGGTGGAAAGCTAGTCCGAGTGAGGTAAATAAAAGGGAGCATGGGGTTTGGCAAATAAAATGCAAGTCGGTGATCAGACAGGCAAAAAGGGACTATGAGGAACATATAAAGATCAACAATAAAAATGTCTTCAAATACGTTAGTAGCAGAAAACCGGCCAGGGAGGCCCTTGGATGACCAAGGGGTAAAAGGATTACGAAAGGATGATAGGGAAATGGCACAGAAACTGGATGCATTTTTTGCCTCTGTCTTCACTGTGAAAGATGGGAGGTGCTTGCCCAGTCCAGAACCGCCAGTTTCAGGAAGGGTGTCAAAAGAGCTGAGTCGGATTGAGGTGATGAGAGAGGTCCTATATGACTGATGGACAAATTAAAAAACTGACCGATCACCAGGCCCAGATAGCATACATCAAAGAGTTCTGAAAGAACTCAAATGTGAACTTGTGGATCTCCTGACAAAAATATTATATCACTAAAATCTGCCTCCATTCCCAAGGACTGGAAGGTAGCTAATGTAACCCCCATCTTTTAAAAGGGTTTCAGAGAAGATCTGGGAAGTTACAGGACAGTTAGTCTAACTTTGATAGTGGGTAATTTGGTGGAATTCTTTATTAAAGATAGAATTAGTAGGCACATTGATGAACAAAAGCTATTGAGGAAGAATCAGCATGGATTCTGTAAGGGAAGATCTTGCCTCACTAACCTTTTAGAGTTCTTTGAGGAGGTGAACAAGCATGTGGATAAGGGTGACTCAGTAGATGTTGTTTACCTAGACTTCTGGAAAGCTTTTGATAAAGTTCCTCATCAAAGCCTTCTAAATAAACTCCGCAGTTATGGGATAAGAGGACAAGTCCTCGTGTGGATTAAAAACTGATTAACAGGAAACAGAAAGTGGGTATAAATGGGCAGTTTTCACAGTGGAAGGTAGTAAGCAGTAGGAGTGTTGCAGGGCTTAGTATTAAGGTCCAGTGATTTTTAACTTGTTCATTAATGATTTAGAGTTGGGAGTAAGCAGTAAAGTGGCTAACTTTGCGGATGACATTGTTCAGGGTGGTGAGAACCAGGGAGGACTGTGAAGGTGCTCCAGAGGGATTTGTTGAGGCTGGGCGAGTGGGCATCAGTGTGGCAAATGAGGTTCAACATGGGCAAGTGCAAAGTAATGCACATTGGAGCTAAGAATCCTAACTATAAATATGCGTTGATGGGGTCTGAACTGACAGTAACTGACCAGGAGAGAGATCTTGGAGTCATGGTAGATAATTCACTGAAGGTATCGACTCAGTATGCAACAACAATAAAAAGGCAAATGCTATGCTGGGGATTATTGGGAAGGAGATTGAAAACAAATCATCCAATATAATAATGCCCCTGTACAAATCTATGGTGCGACCTCATTTGGAATTCTGTTTACAGTTCTGGTCACCACACCTCAAATGGCGTTATAGCATCTGAAAAGGTGCAGAAAAGGGCAACTAAATTGATTAAGGGTATGAAACACCTTCCCTATGAAGAAAGGTTATAGGGATTAGGGCTCTTTAGCTTGGAGAAACGATTACTGAGGGGTGACACGATACAGGTTTACAGAATTATGCCTGGGATAGAGAACGTAGAGAAAGAAGTACTCTTTTCCCTTTCTCAGAATACAAAAACTCATGGGCACTGCATGAAATTAATGAACAGTAGGCTTAAGATAAAAGGAAGTACTTCTTCACCCAAAGAATAATTAACACATAGAACTCACTGCCACAGGAAGTGGTGGCAGCTACAAGCATAGACAGCTTCAAGAGGGGACTGAATAAACATATGGAGCAGATGTCCATCAATAGCTATTAGCCACAAGGTATAGACTGAACACTTATGTCTGGGGCAGTGATGCTTTGTATTATTGATGCTTGGGGGACAACAGTGGGAGGACGTCTGGAGTTCTGGCCCCACTGGTGGACCTCCTGATGGCACCTGGGTTTTGGCCACTGTTTGACACAGAGTGTTGGACTAGATGGGCCATTGGCCTGATTCAAGATGGCTTCTCTTATGTTCTTATGACTTAGGGTTCCTTGGGGGCTTGCAGGCTCTCTCGTCTACAAAGTTGGACAATTAAACTCTTCTGATCTACAGGGCCTGGTTAGAGGTCAGCAAAACAGTGTGTGTGTGGGGGGGAGAAGGTTGAATCTCCCAGCACCACCGTCCTGATCTGAATCTGGCCTGTGGCACTTGGAAAATCACTTTCCAGGAGCTGTCGTCTGACTGACATCAATGACAGTCAGTTTGGAGGAACCCAGACCTGACTCAGGGGAAAACGTCACATCTTGCTTGGCCCTGAGCTAAAAAAAAACTGAAGTTCAGAATCCAGAATCCCAGTTCTGCAAGTGTTATTAAGGTATACAAATTTGCAAAAGCTCTGCTTTAAAAAAAAATAAAACAAACGAAATATATATATATGTATGTGTGTGTGTGTGTGTGTGTGCGCGCGCGCGCATATCTATGATCTCTGTCTATCTATCTATAGTAACACGAAGCTCTTTTATATCAACTCAGATCATTCTGGTTCCCCTCTCAAAAACTCTAGCGAGTAGGTTAGGCTGAGAGGATGCAGGACTATAGGAATTCCCTCAAATCTCTATGGTAAAACCACAGAAATTTGGAGAAGTTCCTAGAACACTGTGGATGCTGTGACATCACTTCTCGGTGCCTACCCAGAACTGACATCAAAGCACCCATGCTGTCATTCCCCCCATGCTCCACGAAGCAAGTGTGGGGAATGGGAGTGGTGAGGGGCAACTGGCAAGCCTAAGGGTGACTGATCCAAGGTCACCCTGTGAGCCTCATGGCCCAGAGTCAACAGCAATGCAATAGTTACACACAGATCAATCCTTCTGAGCCTAATGATCTCAGCAGTGTACCTCTGCTTAGGATTGAACTGCTGGCCTCCCAAGTCCTGTCACGACACCAACTAAATGGCCGGAGGTCAAGTCCCACTGCAACTGGTTCTGCTTAGTCACCCTTGTCTCTTGTCCCTGGAGCTGGCAAATGTGAGAGGGGAGGACATGGCAACACACCAGGAGTTGTTGGCCTTCATGAAAACGTTCTGATAGTTTTGGGCAGCATGCCTCTTCCCAGGGTACATGTCAAAAGCACTCTACACATGACAGTATGTGCACTGAGAGGGAGCAGGCATGAGTGCTCTGGTTGATGCATGAGCACCGGCTCCTGAGCATGGAGTTTATGCTTGTAGGCTTCCTTCCAAGTGATCGGGAGTATTATTTCAGATGCATGCATGGGCTCTATACGAAGAAACAGGTATTTGCATACGGGCAGGGGGTGGGCACTCACACTGCACATTGATCTCAATGCAGGCAGTGCTGTGTGAAGAGGGCTAAAGCCTACACAATAGCAGACAGCCTCTCTTCCACAAACTGCAGGCTGCAGGATGAAACTGGGCTTTATTTTTTGAAAACAGGAGAAAAGAACAAGGGGAAAAAAATCTTAAAACTCAGCAACCAAATAAGATTTTTTTAAAAAAAAAAAGAAAAAGGGGGAAAAAATGAAAGCAGGTAAAGACAAAAGAATAACAGCAGTGGTGGCAGATCTACACACATGTTTCTATAAACAGTTTCTAAATATCTAAAAGTAAGGCCATGTGCAGTTGCCACGTGGATGCATTCAAATATCAATACATTGAAATTGAATAAGGATGTGGTGCAAGAAGAAGCACCAGCAAGGCAAAAGATGAAATCGTTTTTATTTCAGAAGATGGAATAGATAGATGGATGACATAGACAAAAAAGCAAAGAAGTATAACTGGGTGACGTCTTTTTCCTATTTACTGGCATAAGAAAGAGAACTGTTTCTTGAACTGTTTTGATGCACCGTACCTGGAAGTCATACGCCGAGTATGGTGGCAGATGCGGAGTGCTGTGATAATATGTATTATACGAAGTCACCTGGGGTCTCGAGTAATAGGATACTGTGGGCCGAGCATTTTCAACTGTACAGTTAAGAGCAGGAAGCGAGGGAGTCTGTGGAAAGCACAGATAATGGAAAATCCATTAGCACATGGGTCCAGCTATCCAAAGGCAAGAGGAGGCTGGGATATTGCAAAAGAGATTGGAAAAAGAAGCTAATCCCATTTGTTTTCGACTTTAAGGAATTCATTTATGGTTTTCAAAACAAGATTAAAAATCAAATGGATGTTCTGTTTTTTGCTTTCTGCTTGCTTCAGTCCCGAAGACTGTCAAAGAACCACAAATTATAAAGGGACTGATATATCAGGCATACGTTGGGCCCAATCCACCAGGACATTCTCCTGTGCAAGCGCCAAGAAAATGAATGGGAACCATTAACATAGCTTTCATTCATTTCAGTGAGATTTGTACAAGAGAACTCCCTGAAAGGTTGGCACAAAACGGCACGAGCCTTATGGGTAATGTTTATAGCTGTTTCACCACATAAATCATTTTAACTGATTCATGGTCTACCATTTACCTATCTGGGTGAAGATTTTTTTAAAAAACAAACTATTAATACCAAAATGTCAACATATCCTTTTCTGAAATACTGAAGAAATAAAGGAGATACAACTGAATGCCCAAAAGGTTGTTACAAGGGAAGGCTACCATTAGTGTTTCCTTTCCATTACTTATTACAGCAACATGCCAAAACAGCCTCAAAAACAGGCCACGTTGGGATCAAGTGGACAAGGCACTGGAAACCCACAATCAGATCTCCTGTCTCTAAAAAATTCTATTAATATCCGCTATGAGCATCACAGGGCACTGGGAAAGGAGGGGGTAATGCTTTTTTTCCTGAGGAAAACCACCAGCTGCTATTTGCTATTTTAGCAAAATAATTACAGGCACATGCTAAGTTTCCCCTAGAATGGAAACTGTAGCTCCGGAGGGGGGTGGTGGTGTTTGCAGCAAGAAAATGGTGAAGGCAAAAAAGGTAAACCCCCCCCCACCCGAGTGCTACGGTCCTGAATCAAATCTGGGTTAGCCATGGCTTGCTAGCCAGTTTGGTGTAGTGGTTAAGTGTGCGGACTCTAATCTGGGAGAACCGGGTTTGAATCCCCACTCCTCCACATGCACCTGGCTGGATGACCTTGGGCAAGCCATAGTTCTGTCAGTGCTGGTCTTGAAAAAGAGCAGTTTGTGTCAGAGCTCTCTCAGCCCCACCTACCTCACAGGGTCTCTGTTGTGGGGAGGGGAAGGGAAAGGAGTTTGTAAGCCACTCTGAGACTCCCTTGGGTAGTGAAGGGCGGGGTATAAATCCAGTCTCTTCTCTCTTCTCTATGCAAATGGATTTAAAGAGGTGGGAAATCTGATGATGGCATTTTGCTGAGCTCTACGTGGGCCATGGCTGAGTCAGCAGAGCACATACTTTCTTCACACGGGAGCTCCCAGGCACTTCCCCCCTTAAAGGATCTCAGCTAGCAGGTGTGAGGAAACGCACCCCTGATTTCTCCAAAAGGCTTAATGTGAATACTAATGGGCTTAGTCCATCTTGCAGGTCTTAGCAATTGGGCCTCTCTGCCTAAATGGCCCTTATCATCTTCAAGGCCAGAGTTAGGAATGTGATCATTGGCTCTTCTTAAGAACCTGTGGCCCACTTGATGGGAGGGGGGGAATCAGGAGTGATGCTGTAGTCTTCTAGAGAGTTCTAGTGAGAATGTGCCGATTGGATTGTTACCGTCACCTGACGCTGGTTGGCCCAAGACTATAATGGAACTAAAAGTCTGAATGAAGGAGGGCAAACTTTGGAGATTTGGGGTAAGTTGAGACTTGCATTGCAGTGCATGTGTAAAAAGGTAAAGGTAAAGGTTCCCTTGCTCGAAAGCCAGTCGAGTCCGACTCTAGGGTTGCGGTGCTCATCTCCGTTTCAAAGCCGAAGAGCCAGCGCTGTCCGAAGACATTTCCGTAGTCATGTGGCCGGCATGACTAAACACCAAGGTGCACGGAATGCTGTTACCTTCCCACTGAAGTGGTACCTATTTATCTACTTGCAATTTCTTGCTTTCGAACTGCTAGGTTGGCAGGAGCTGGAACTAGAGACGGGAGCTCACTCCGTCATGCGGCAACCCGGGTCTCAAACTGCTGAACTACTGACCTTCCGCAGCCTGCAGTTCAGCGTCTTAACCACTTGAGCAACCGCAGCTCGACAGTGTGTAGAGAACACTTAAGCCATCGCCTCCACCTTTTGGAACCATCCAATGCAAGGTATAAATATGTTAGAGAGTAAAAGTTAGCTTTTCCTGTTTTCTTGCTGCAAGATTTCAGAGTTGCCTACAAACAAAAACTATTTCTGGAAGTATTTAATAAACTTCATATATTTTTTACAAAGGAGTGGTTTCTTGTGTACACTGCCCTGGGAACCCACAGGGTTCAGGCTTGGACTGCTTGACAGCATGTGACAGGAAAGACCTTTCTCTGTCCGAGACCCTAAGGAGCTGTTGCCAGTTCGAGTAGACAATACTCAACTAGATGGACCAATGGCTTGACTTGGTACAAGGCATCTTCATATGCGTTCATAGCTGTCAGCATCACCAAATAAAGCTGGACCTTGCCAATCACACTCACTCAGGTGTTAATGGACAAATCTACTTATCAAAGCCCTAGTAATTTTACATTGCAACTGATTTCAATGGGTTTCGATTGGAGGTACTGTGTATGGGACTGGAGTGTTAAAGAGGTTCCTCCTATGAGGTCCCCAGCTACTTTGATGCGCTTTAACTTCCTTACCATATCTTTAAAGCCAGCAAGGATTGCAGCTGTGATGATCCCTAGAAATAAGCCGATGATGTTCAATATGGTTGCTGACCACAGCAAATGGTAAAGATGGATGATGTCTTGACAGCTGCTGACATCAATGTATTCATAGTAGCCACCAGAAATCTCCACTCTGCTGAATAGAGAAATAGCATCTTTAAGAACCCCAGTCTTGCAGAATGCTTGAGTAACAAAAAAAGAAAACTACACACAATGCATGTGGAGGAGGGCAGTCCCAAAACTGAGGATGCTTTTCATTGTATTCTGAAGTATCTTTGCGGCTCCTGGCTGATTAAAAAGTGCCAAATTAAGGCACTGCTTAAAGCCTAGACTAGGCAACGGATGTTTCATGGGATGGATTGCCACCAAAACCCACAGCCAGAGGTCACAAAATCATATTGAAAAATCTAACTACCAGACACACACACACAGCCATCTCCACATTTATAGGGAGAAAGACAACAAGAATGGAAGGAAGGGCAGGGGGATTTGGGAGAGGGAAGGGGCACAGGAAGATGATAAGGGCAGAGAGAAGAGGGAGCAAGAAGGGAAGGGTGAAAATTAGGAAAATGACTAGAACCCTGGGAAAGGGGTGGAGGAAGGAGAGGAGAAAAGGGAGAGACTGGTGTCACAATAAAGGTCTAAGATGAAACATTAACATGAAAAAAAACAACCTACCAAACTGCCAACTGCTTTCAGCCTGCAAAGTGAACTGGGCTTCTCACATGGGTTTCCGAGTGACATTTGGGCCTTGATAGATTCTATATTTTAATCAAATGAGATGACTTTCCATTGTTTGCTGCTTCTTCTCAGAATGCAAGTGCTGCAATCTAACATCTGAACCCATTAAACTAGTGTCTGTGAACCTGTCAGCATCTAACACACCAATGGCTGGCAAGACAGAGTCTTAAGATCTTGACCTGGAAAACTGTTTTCTTTAGTTTTCGTAACATTTAGCCTGATTAAAAGCTCTGATGCACTCGAATATGAGCACAAAGGTATTAGTCATTCTGGACGTCCTTAATAAAAGGTATCGCATGGATTTTTCTCCTTGTTCTGGATTTTGCATGGGCCAATATGGCTATTTACAGCCTTTTTCTCAATAATCCATGCCTCAGTCCCAAATTCTGATCTCTTTTCCCATTTTTATTTGAGTGGCAGGTAAACAGGTATACAGCCAAGATGAGAAGAAAGGAAAGTGTTCTATGCAATGGGAACGGTATGACTGTATCCTGTTAGCTCCTTGCCACTAATTTCTCTTCCAGTCTGCTGCAAGGATCTTATATTCCGTTCACATGTTACTCACCTTCCACAATTATACAAGTCACAACAGAAACAGGTGTTGGTCCTGATCTTAGGTGTGCAGGGGCCACGCTGCTGGAGAGGGCAGACTGCCTGTGTGAACACAGAACAAAAGAATTCAGGGGGGAAAACACATTCTAAAAGGGATGGCAGGATATTCTTAAACACAATTCCAGTGTGCTCTGGCCTAGTTTTCAGTAGTCTGATGTGTGTATGCGTGTGGGGGGAGGTAATCTGACAGCCAGTCTGGTGTAGTGGTTAGGAGCGCAGACTCTAATCTGGGAGAACCAGGTTTGATTCTCCCCGACATGCAGCTGCTGGTGTGATCTTGGGTCAGTCACAAGTTCTCTCAGAGCTGTTCTCTCAAGAGCAGTCCTCGAGAGAGTTCTCTCAGGGCCACCTACCTCACAGGGTGTCTGTTGTGGGGAGGGGAAGGAAAAGGGATAGTTTGTAAACCACTCTGAGACTCCTTCAGGTAGTGAAGGGTGGGGTATAAATCCAATCTTTTCTTCTTCTAATCATATGGTTGAATATTTTTCCACACACAAATTATGTCTATACACACAGAAAACTAGCATGGTAGGCTGGAAGTCCTTCCCCATACAAGCTAGTTTTCTGAATGTAAGGAAAAGCATCCAGCCATTCTTTATTTCAAAAGATGTATGTGCCCCTTTTCTTAACCACTAGCCTCCAAGTGTGGCAAACGGCAATAAAAACAAACTTTTTTGTTGTTGTTCAGTCGCACAGTCGAGTCCGACTCTTCGCAACCCCATGGACCAGATCACGTCAGGCCTTCCGGTCTTCCGCCATCCTCTGAAGTTTGCTCAACTTCATGTTCGTTGCATCTGTGACACTGTCTAACCATCTCATCCTTTGCCGTCCCCGTCTTCTTTGACCTTCAATCTTTCCCAGCATCAGGGTCTTCTCCAGTGAGTGCTCCCTTCTCATTTGGTGGCCAAAGTATTTGAGCTTCAGTTTCATTATCTGGCCTTCCAGGGAACAGTCAGGGTTGATTTCTTTTAGGATTGACTGATTTGATCTTCTTGCAGTCCAAGGTAGGACCGAAATCATTCTGTCATTTTTGAGATTGTATCCCAGTACTGACTTTTGCACTCTCTTGTTGACTATAAAGGCCACACCATTTTTTCTACGAGATTCCTGGCCACAGTAGTAGATATAATGGTCTTCTGAGTTAAATTCGCCCGTTCCTGTCCACTTTAGTTCACTGATTCCTAAGATATCGATGTTCAGTCTTGCCATCTCATTTTTGACCACGTCAAGCTTACCTTGATTCTCACCACGTCAAGCTTACCTTGATTCATAGATCTTACATTCCAGGTTCCTATGCAGTATTGTTCTTTGCAGCATCGGACTTTCCTTTCACCATCAGACACATCCACAACGGAGCTTCCTTTTGGCTTTGGCCCAGCCGCTTCACTCTTACTGGGGTTACTTGTACTTGCCCTCTGCTCTTCCCCAGTAGCATATTGGACACCTTCCGACCTGAGGGGCTCATCTTCCGGTGTCATATCTTTTAGCCTTTTGATACTGTTCATGGGGTTTTCTTGGCAAAAAATACTGGAGTGGGTTGCCATTTCCTTCTCCAGGGGATCACGCTTGGTCTGAGTTCTCTGCTGTGGCCTGTCCACCTTGGGTGGCCCTCCACGGCATAGCCCACAGCCTCATCGAACCACGCAAGCCCCCTCGCCATGACAAGGCAGTGATCCATGAGGGGGAAAAACAAACTAAATAACCCTAAAATGCCCAATAAAACACACCAGAGTCCCAGCCAACAACCACAAAGCTAGTAAAACAGTGCTAAAAATAAAAAGAGAAGGGAAAAGATGCACAGATAAAAAAAAACAACCACATGCCTACATATGTAAGAACCAGTTTCACCAGGTGCTGCCCGAAGCTTAAATTTTAAGTTGCCAGGCAAGCAGCTCAGTCAACGAGGAGCCACTATCAAAAAAAGGCCCTCTTTCTGGTAACCATCCATCTCTGGCGACAAGGGTGCAGCCCTGCAGTCCTCCACCCACAGTCTGAAAGGGTGTAGCTCAGAGTAGACACACATCTATCTCCTCCTCGGCTGTTCCTGAGAACTGGGCTCACTGGAGAAGACTAGAAAGGCTGGTTCCTGCAGTCTAGACAAGCAGCATGTTTGCCAGTCTGTTCAGTCAACCTGGACTTTCGGCTTGATTGCGCTGGTTATGCACCGACTAAAAACTGACTGACTGACTGAATTGCTTGTTTGTGTGGCAGCAAATGATGGAACAACCGCTGCAATTGCTCACCTCTGGTGGGGCTGTGCTTTTTGAAAAGTAGTGGCATCGTCCTGCATACAGTGGCCTAAGATCCTGTAAAAAGAAACAGGAAATAATGTTGTTGGGTCGGTTTGTCCCCAAAAATTATGAGGAAAAGGCAGTTCCAGCCTGTGATACACATATTACTCCACTGGACCAGTTGCATGAAAGATTATATTTTCACACTTTCCCCAAGGAAGCACAAAAGCAGCGTCACTGGAACTCCCAGTCATCGTAAGCCCAGACATGCACTCATGACCATCACCAGCATATAAGTGCCCATCGGGAGGTATACGATGTATGCAGGGACAAGTATTTCAACTTCACTGTAGAGGTGGGGTTTTATTTTCTATTCATTACATTTGTATGTCTTCTGCTAAGCAGTGCAGAGTGGCCATATAAGTGCCCATCGGGAGGTATACGATATATGCAGGGACAAGTATTTCAACATTTGTATGTCTTTTGCTAAGCAGTGCAGAGTGGTACTGTTAGCCCCTTTCATCCTCACAACAACTCCACAAGGTAGGCTAGGCTGAATGGGACCCGCTTACTCAGTACCAATCTCAGAGCGAGCTATGTGGCGAACAACCGCTGCAATTGCTCACCTCTGGTGGGGCTGTGCTTTTTGAAAAGTAGTGGCATCGTCCTGCATACAGTGGCCTAAGATCCTGTAAAAAGAAACAGGAAATAATGTTGTTGGGTCGGTTTGTCCCCAAAAATTATGAGGAAAAGGCAGTTCCAGCCTGTGATACATATATTACTCCACTGGACCAGTTGCATGAAAGATTATATTTTCACACTTTCCCCAAGGAAGCACAAAAGCAGCGTCACTGGAACTCCCAGTCATCGTAAGCCCAGACATGCACTCATGACCATCACCAGCATATAAGTGCCCATCGGGAGGTATACGATATATGCAGGGACAAGTATTTCAACATTTGTATGTCTTTTGCTAAGCAGTGCAGAGTGGTACTGTTAGCCCCTTTCATCCTCACAACAACTCCACAAGGTAGGCTAGGCTGAATGGGACCCGCTTACTCAGTACCAATCTCAGAGCGAGTTATGTGGCAGAACAAGAAATTAGAATGCAGATCTCCCGGATGGTCAAACTGCAGTAGATATATGTTCAATAGGCCCCAAGGAGAACTCTGTCTGCAGAAGGCTACGAGGGGAGGCTGGGAGAGGATGTTAAAACAAAACAAAAATGTTATGGAAGTTCTGAGCTTTGATCTGAAGCAAAAAGGGAGAAGTACCCTCAGGGAGGAACACCAGACATCAGGGGCATCAAGGAGACTCATGTGTGAGATCAGGAGATCTTTGGGCAGCTGAGGGTAACCTGGCTTGGTAGGATGTCCTGCATAGGGCAGGGGGTTGGACTAGATGGTCTGTATGGCCCCTTTCAACTCTAGGATTCTATGAAATAAGGGCAGAAAGGCCTCAGCTGTCCGATCCCTTTCTTTGTTCTCTCTCTGCAGTCCATTTAGTACAAATGCTCCTTGAAGAGAGGCCTGCATACAACTTGCTTGGTTTGGGTATGATATTCTATAAAGCAACATGTACTATTGCTGAGAAATACCTATCTACCTAAAACCTAGAATACAAGTTTTGCTATTCTGCATTTGCACATGAAGAGAAAAGACAAATAAGGGGGAACATGTTTACCAAACTATGCATGGGGGGGGGGAGAGAGAAAATGGATAAAGAGAACTTTTTCTCACTAGGCCACGGTACTAGAATTGGCAGGGAACACTCAATGAAGTTAATGGGCAGTAGCTTCAGGATGGACAAAAGGAATTTGTTTTAATGACAGACTGAAAATGTTTCTATTCCACTTATTTATTTATTCATTCATTCATTAGATTTCTACCCCGTCCTCCCAGCAAGGCCGGCTCAGGGCAGCTTACAATACAAAACAGTACAATAAATAATAAAACCCAATCAAGCATAAATTTAAAACCATAACTATACAACTTAATAAAGTGCTAGCATTAGCTCCTCAAGGCACAGTCAGCATCATAATCTACCACAGATGTCCCAGGCACTTGGGTCAGGGCCAGTGTTCCCTCTAAGCTGAGTTAGTGTGAGCTAGCTCACAGTTTTTTAGCCTCCGGCTCACACATCTTTATCTTAGCTCAGGAAGGATGGCTCCAGAGCAAGCTAATTTATGTAGTAGCCAAATCACCTGCTCACAACTTTAATGATGGCAGCTCACAAAGTAGAAGTTTTGCTCACAAGACTCCACAGCTTAGAGGGAGCATTGGTCAGGGTATACTTATGGGTTGGGCTCGCTCTCCAAGAACTGTCAGATGTCGGTGGTGGCAGTGGTGGCGGCGGCTCCAAAAGCCTGGCGGAAGAGTTCCGTTTTACAGGCCCTGTGGAACTGTAACAGGTCCCACGGGGCCCTGATCTCCTCCGGGAGCTCATTCCACCAGAATGGAGCCACCACTGAGAAAGCCCTGGCCCTTGTTGATGCAAGCCTGGCCTCCTTGATGTTAGGGAGGACCAGCCGATTCTGGGTCCCCGATCGCAGTGCTCTCTGGGGAACATATGGGGAAAGGCGGTCCTTCAGGTATGCAGGTCCTTCTTCAAAAAATCTGAGGCAGCTTCCAAGGGAAACCACCATAAAGACATCACATTTGGAATGTACAAAGAATTAAAAACAAATTAACAAAACGATACAGATGCTGCTCTTGAGACCCACATTGGTTCTTACGCTTAAAAAACCCTCTCAAATAAAAATATAAACAATTTTTTAAGCCAAAGGAAGTATTTCCCCATTCAACAAGTAATCACATTGTGGAATTTGATGCCAGTGGATGTAGTGATGGGCCACAAGCACAGAAGGCTTTAAAAGGGGATTACACAGATCCATGTAGGATAGGTCGATTAGTGGCTACTGGGCACAGTAACTGAAGGGAACCTCCACCTCCAGTGCTAGGATGCAACGTAAGGGAGAGGTGATGGTCTCTGTGTCCAGTTTGTTGGTCCTCCTGGGCAACAGGTTGGCTGCTGTGTGAAACAGCATGCTGGACAGATGGGCTACGGGTCTGATCTTGTGTCATTATGTATCATCCACTGCTGAAGGACCTCTTGCGAACCACAGTAACAGCCTCACCGGCCACACTTGGGTACTTTTCCATTAAACAAAATGGCTACAGTGTACTTTGGCATTTTCAGTAACAACAGCACCCTTTCAGAGCTCAACTACATGGTTACAGATTACAGCTCTGCCCCATGTCTGCCTTGGGTCTGGTCAAACCAGACCCGTGCTGGGAGTTGAGTGTTTACAGCTCCCAATCATTTTTTAAAAGTTAACTCTCAGATGCATGGGGGCCTGATCAAGATTGGGACAGCAGCATTACCGGGGGAGGGGGGGTTTTCAGCCTTCCCTCTGTACCACTTTCATGAGTTGAAACGGAGATCTTCATCATCATCATCAGGGGTCATTTCCTGCAGGAGCACACAGGAGCGGAGCTCCGGCAGTAAAAAGCCCAGGGGGCGGGCACATGCAACAAGCCCCACCCCCTGCTCCCAGCAGCCCTCAGTCAGAGTAAGAAGCAACCAGGTAAGTTGCAGAGCTGCCCCCCAGGCCCTCCAGCCCAAAACAGTCTAGTGGCTCCTTTAAGACCAATTTTTATTCAGGTACAAGCTCTCCCTCCTCTGCGACGACAGATCTGCACATCCCCCCCCCAAATAGCTAGCAATCTAAAACAGTCCAGAGGCGCCTAAGCGGTGGGTGTTGCCTTCTGACACACTTCTGGTGATGCCAGGGGGTGTGGCATATGCAAGTAAGTTATGCTAATGTGCTATGCTAATGAGCTCCTGCACCTCTTTTTCTACTAAATGACCCCTGATCGTCGTCATCATCATCATCGTATAGCACTGTGTGTAGAATAGCCAGGAGATCCTAAGGTTGTCTATTTGTCCCTTTGGCAAGATTTCTGTGTAGCCCACCAGTACATGTTGATTTCCCCAACAGGGCAAACAGTAGCTTCCTTGGGACTGTTTCAAGTCAGGAAAACAGTGTGGTGGTAGTGGGGAGGCTAAAGCCTCCCAAGTCCTCTCCCAATATGCCGCAGTCCCAGTTTGAATCCGGTCCCCACGTGACTGGGAAGTAAACGACGAGCATGAAACTTCCTGCACGTCCGCTCAATAGGGCAGACCAGGCCCGTAGCTAACATGGGGCCCACGGGGCCTGGCCCCCTTGTGTTTCTTCTGGGCCCCCTCCCTCCAGGGCTGCCCCCAAAGTGCTCCAACTTCCCACCTGCACTGTACTTCTATTTAATTAGCTGGCAGGCCCCCCCAAGGCCCCCTCCCAAAGAATTCCCTAGCTACGGGGCTGGGGCAGACCTGTAAACAGTGTATGTCCAGTTCGACCTTCAGTGTGGGACTTGGCCCGAAAAGGCTTGGGTTGAAATTCTCTCTCAGCCGTGCTTCTCAATGGGCGGCTTTTGGCAGGCCTCTATCTTCCTAATTTCCCTCACAGGGTTGTTGCAAGGATAAAGGTAAGCTAACAGTGCATTTCTACAAGATACTGCACGTTCATCCCTCTGCTTTTATTGTGACAATGCACCTTTATCACTAGGGTTACTGTGATTTTTTTTTAATGCTTCTGTCAACTGTTCTGGGGCCACTGCACCCCAAAAAGAGGGAAGATAATAAAAAAAATAACAATGTTTTTAAAGAATAATTGACCAATGAGCTGCTTGGAGGAAAGAGGGACACAAAGGGGAAGTGGGAAAATAGATCCATGCTCAGCCCATTAAATGCTAACTAACAGAGCAATCCTAAGGACACTATCGTGGGAGCAAACCCCATTCAGTAGACTTCAGTAGGATCTTAAGTAGAGCTGTTTAGGATCGTGCTACAAGAGAGCAATCCTATGCAGGTCTACTCAGAAGTCAGCCCCATTTTATTTAATGGCGCTTAGTCCCGGGAAAATGTCCTTATGATTGTAGCCTTACACACCCCACGTGCACGTCTAATTTTCCAGCCGTCTCCTCTGTACAGACATGTCCGATGCAACCGTTAAGAGAACCCTGCAATAAGCGATGTTGCAATGCCAGAGGCTGAGCCATTCTAACTGAAGCAGAAATCCTTAACCCGCCAGTACCCATTGCAACAAGTATCTGCAATGATAGAAGGCAGCACAGAGCCAGGAACGAAGCAAAGTTTGGAGTTACCCAATCCTTTTTCAGGGCAGGGTTGTGTGAACTGGGGTGGGGTGGGGACAATCCAGATACTACACCAGGAAAGCCACACTTCAGCAGCCTCTACAAATCACATAGATAAAGCCAAGTTTGTACTAATATGCATAATTTACTTTAATTACATAGGAAGGAGCAAGGCATAATGCAAAACAGAAGTCTTGCCTCAAAGCCAGAAATCTGCATGTGGAGACCAATGAGGTGACAAGGCAGAAGAGCAGACTGTACCACTTCAGAGTGCAGGTCGGGGGCCATAATTTCTGAATGCCCCTCTATGTCATAATAAAAAGGGTGGTACTGCAAAGCAGCACAGAAAACAACAGAATGGGGTAGAAACTTACTGCATATAATTGTAAGGTAAAGGTTTCCCTTGCCTGAAAGCTAGTCGAACCTAACTCTAGGGGGCAGTGCTTATCTCCGTTTCTAAGCCAAACAGTCAGCACTGTCCGAAGACTTCTCCGTGGTCATCTGGCCAGCATGACGAACGCCGAGGTGCACAGAACGCTGTTACCTTCCCACCGAAGCGGTACCTATTAATCTACTAGCAATTTGTTGCTTTGGAAGTGCTAGGTTGGCAGGAGCTGGGGCCAGAGACAGGCGCTCACTCCGTCACGCAGCACTAGGGTCTTGAACTGCCGAACTACAGATCTTCCGGTCTGCAGCTCAGCAGCTTAACCTCTGAGCCACCACGGCCCCGCATGTAATTGTAGCTTTTGTTAAAACCTACGAAGGGGGTTACACTAAAAATGACATTGCACATTTGTTGCCTGATGTGGCACAGTCCACTCTACCAGCTTGGAATTCTGCTGCTTGAATAGATCAAGCCTTATTCTGCTACTTGTCCAGCTTCTGGGGTTTCACCAGGCACTGCCAACATGAAAGCAAGCACATTTTCAGAACCATGCAAACGAGAAACTTGATTCTTCTTTCCTTTCCAAAACCACCAAGAAGCTCAAGAAACTGGACTGTACACTCAATAACACCACCTGCATCTTTTCTGCACTCTTGTAGAATCATGGTGCACACACTCACAGCTCTGTCGACAGGTTAAGAGGGAACAAGGTGATTGGCACGCAGATTATGGACCATACTTACAATGTGTCTGGCAGCAAAGACGCCATCAACAATGGCGCAGCAGAAAGCAGCCAGGACTCCAAAGCTGATGAACACTATGGATGCCACCAGCTGTGGAAAAGATAAAGCTACATGCAATCATCTGCTTCGATATAAACTGTGAGCTGAAACACCCAACTACAGAAGAAGCAGATTTACTAAAACAATAGTTTGCTCTTCAATAGCTTTTGTAAAGCAACTGCTTCTTCAAAGCTGCCCGAAGTATAATTAGTTTTACTATTTAGGTAATACAGTATAACAATAACTGTGCATACAGAAGTTAGGCTACTGTTAATTCTGCATCAAATATACTTTGAGGTTGAGCCTATTTGTGTGGAAATACAAATTTGTATGGACTACTACAGCCTTTAGCAATTGCTGATGTAACAGTGTAGTGAGTAATCTATTTGTTGGTTTTTCAGATTTTTTTTGGAAACCATTTGTATGCATTAAGATATTTGACATTTGTAAACCCCTACTCCTTAAGATGACTTTCTGGAAGCTATGGAAATATTCATATTTAGTTAGTAATAGATCTAAATTTGCCTGTTCCAAATTTTATTATGCATCTGGTTTTTGGAATGCAATTATAATAAAACTGATATTAGTTTTTTAAAAGCTGCCCCAAGTTATGTTTCTGCACAAAAACCTCACAGAACATGTACAGCTCCCTGATATTGAACCAGATCATTGGTCCATCCAGTCCAAAATGATTTATTATTGTGACTGGCAACAGCTCTCCAGAGTCTTTCTGAGGCTTGTTGCATGGGGTGGGGGGAACTGAACCTAAGACTTTCTGCACTCGACACATGAGCTGCATTGGGGAGATGCCCACTGGAATGGGAATGTACACACCATTAGAAGCAGGCATTTAGCTGCATCCAGTTCAGTCCATGTTCTGACTATGATCATATTCATCCCATTCATTTTGCCTATTATTGGTTCAGATTTGTAATTCAAGAAGGCAGAGCTCTGAATAGGCGCTGCACCACAGAACTATGTTTCTTTCTCCCGTTCTCCTCATTCTTCCAGTATTTCTAATTCATATTAGGCTTCCTATTAGGTCTTCAGTGAAAACTTGTGCACAGGAAGGAGGGAGAGAAGAAGGTATCAGTTTTTGTAGGCATGCAATTAGGAACAGAGAACTGTAAAAATGACCCTTTCGTGGAAACCATACCCAGAATCTTTTTGGAGACTGTAGGAACCACTTAGCCTGGATGGGGGGAGGGGGTGTTAGAAGCATTTCCACCATCATGAGGACTAGTAACCTAGCTTTTATTGATATGAGAGAATGGAAATATGAATGCATGTGTACAAGATTTCTTTTCAAAAGGCAAATTCTGTACAGAAGGCAGCTTACACCTGCCCCTTAGACATTCCTCAGTGGTTAAAAAAAAGCTTACCAAAGAAAAATTATGTAAATATATGATAACGTGTACAGATTAGTGATAAACTTTGACACCATGAACCCTGCTGTGCTCTGCCACTACTTAAATACAAAGTTGAACAAAGCTTTCAGACTCATCTTCAGGGCCTTCAGATATGAATAATATTTTTAAATTAATTTCTGGATTTGTTTTTCACTTCTGCCACCAAAATTCTGCATAACTGCAAGTGGTGGTTTTGGAATGGGGTGATAAGCTAGTCTGGCAAAGTATCAACAGTGCCATCCACAGGTGTTTGTTTCCTGAAAAGTGGGAAGACCCCAGATTGGTGAACAGGATATTCAGGACTTGCAAAGCAAGGAAGAGACTACCATCTAAGCAATAATGATTGTTACATATTATACAGGTGCACTTGGTCTTGAACCAGAAGCCCTGAGGATCAGGGACCAGTTTCTTGCAACACTAGGGCACGCACAACAGTGGATGCAACTGAAGGCAGCTCATGGGGAGTGCTCTCACATGATCATCCGCCCTGAGGGTGGGGTACAAACTGAATAAAATAAACAAAGAGATAAACATGAAGTTGCCTTATAGTGAATCAAACCACTGGTCCATCAAGGTCAGTATTGTCTATTCAGACTGGCAGTGTCTCAGGCAAAGATCTTTCACGTTACCTGCTACCTGATCCTTAACAGGAGGTGCTGGGGATTGAACCTGGGACCTTCTGCATGCCGAGCAGATGCTCTACCATTGAGACACGGACCCTCAGTTCAATTTAGGATTCTGTCACTGCAGGCCAGGATCCTCTTTGTCCAGGGAATCAGGTGACATCAGAAAGCCTATTCCATGCTGCTGAGTGATATATAGCTCTCGGATTTGCTGCATTCTCTTGGGCAGGGAAATGAATCACTGCTGAAGCCACTGGGTTATCCTTCTGCATTGCTAGACTACCAGTTGTCTTTCTGATTGCTACCTGCCCACTTACTGCTTGGCTATCTGCAGAGCTGCTGAGAAGGGAGGTAACTAAGGGGACAAAATTCTGGGGACTCCGGTCACCCTGGGGGCTCACTGAACTGGGCAGGCCATATGATCTACTTTTCTATGACATCCGAGTTAGATCTGGGTGAAATGAGAGGGGCCCAGTGGGAATCTTTGTCTGAGGGCCTGAGGTGTTTCTCAGTACACTTGGCTGTCTGTTCCAAGGTATTTCCTTGTCCTCAACTGACAAAAATGGTAACAAATATTAGAATGACTCTCATTCCAACTCACTGGAAATTTTAGCTTCCTATAAACAGGCAGCTGTTTCTGAATGGGAGCTCCCTGCAGACACGAAGGGGATGCCTCCTAGGCTCTTCTGAAGCACCTCCTGCTCCTGTGAAGTGGAGGAAAGCCAGGCCTGCTTTTTGCTTTGGGGAAACAAACAAACAGACACCAGGAAGCCTGTTGGCACAGTGGGGATCCCTGGCATAAACCTTCTGTCAGGGCTGGTAACATTCCTTGCCTTCTTTTCCCCCGATGTGGAACTTGGACTGTGTTCTCCCCGGCCCCTATTATGAATGCTCCAGTCATACAGACTAAGAGAACTGTAGCCCAATTGCACATTTGAAATAAAGAACAGGAGGCCAGATTGCAAATACTACAGTGGGAGAAGCATTAACAATTAGCCGGAGAGACACCATTGGCTGAGGCTCTTGTGCTGCTTCATGACACAGGAAAGAGAATGACAGGAAGGCAGCAAGCATGAAGGGAAGGGACCAAACAGGAGACTTATGGCAAAAAGAAGAAGAGGGAAGGCAGTGAGTGGCCACTGTGTGCATTATGTCCTGTTAACATCATGTGTGAATGACAGGAAGGCAGCAAGCATGAAGGGAGGAACCAAACAGGAGACTAATGGCAAAAAGAAGAGGGAAGGGCAGTGAGTGGCCACTGTGTACATTCTGTCCTGTTAACATCATGTGTATTTGTATTACAGCAAGTTATCTGTGCCAAGAATTGTGCGTGTTCTATAATTGTGCAATTGTCATGAAAAAGCACAGCTGCAGAATTTAGCACCATAAGAACCTAAGCTTTTGTTTTCTAAAAGCCAAGCTTCTAGACCTTATGACTATGGAGAGAGGCATGGAGTAATGTAGTAATGATGAGTGAAAAGTGTTGGTGAAACCTCACAAGTCAGAAAGGAAAGCAAGTCCCAGGAGGGAACTGGATGAGATCTCCAGGGAGGAGCAACTTCCATGTCCCACATATTCCTTCCTTCTCCTGCCCTAATAGGAAAAGACTGACAGTGCAATCCAAAGCAAAGCTGCACCCTTTTAAGCCCACTGACTTCAGTGGACTTCGAAGGGCATAACTTTGCTTAGGGTTGCACTGTAAGTCTCAGTAATATGCACACCTTTGAAATTGTCCCTTTGAACTGCCTGGTACTGTTCTGAGTGAACAAGCAGAGAACTGAGCACTTGAATCCTGCAAATGTCTGCAAAGCCCATCAGTGATATTTCTAAAGCTTCAAGACAGTTCCAATGATGAACATGAGCCAATATTCAAGAAGGTAGATCATTCTTCAAGATTTTGCTGGGAATTCTAAAGGTGAGGGAGAAACCAGTCAAATCTGCAAATTCACAAGCAGTGACAGAACAGGGGGCACAGGGGAACAGGGACACATGAGAAATTTTGCTACAGAAAATGTCATCCTACCATGATGGGCTGTCTTTGTGAGAGAGACAACTCAATGCTCTAGAAACATTTTGCCTTTTTCCATACCAGTTGGTCTGCGATGAGTATTGCAAAATATTCCAGAGCACTTTCTGTGGCACATATCCAGTTCATATAGAGAACTGACCAGGCCTCTTGGGCATCACTGTTACCTAAAATCAACAGGGTACACCCTAAATCACACCCAACTCTCCATGTGGCTGATCAATGCAGGGGGGGAAATGACAGATGCCCATGTGGTCTCTCAGGAAAGTCACCATCACAAATCATCTTGCTCAGCAACCTTAAGACACATCCCCAAAGAACCACTGTGTTCCCATAACACAGTCTGCAACCCACAGGTCTACTGTATTCTGAATTGTCCAGACAGTTGCTGGGTTCTCTGCTTAACTAGAACTTTAAAAACATGTGCAAGGGTCAAGCTGAAGTCATGCTGTCACTTTAGAAGGGGCATGAGTGGAATGTTGGATGGCGGTAATACATTCTTAGTACTCGATGGAGCACGCCCCCCGCTCTAACTTATCATAAACCAGCTTCTAGGCCACCACAGGAATATTTCCAAGAGATGATTCTGGGCTGATTCTTAGGTTGTTCTAGGAATGTCTGAAATAGGGAACCACCTGGGAATGATATTATGTGGTTGCAGTCCATGCTGCAAAGGGGTGGCCGAGCAGATATAGCAGATAACCAAGGCTGAATACAGGCACCCATTTTCTAAGCCGTAACTGACAACTATTAGTTGCCTGTTTCATAGAGGAAGATAATTTTGCCATACTTCTGTACATGATCAGAAATCCAGGGAAGGAGCAAAGTTTCCCTTATTGCTTTGTATACGGATACAGAAGACGAGCACACCAAGCAGGTTTCATGATTTCAACTCAGAGAGTCAAGGTCGCTGTGAATAAACATGAAAGAGACATATCTCTGTGGCTGGCACAAAGGAGCTTACTGCAACTCCTTAGCTGCTTTCTGGAAAATTAACGAAACAAACACCTTTGCAGCCATTCAACTTACCATTTGCTTTTTATTTTCAATCAAATTCGATCCAATAATTCCAAGAAATGAGCCCAAGCCAAGCTGAAAGGCAACAGTTCGCAATGTTTAGTGCTACAAGTGACCCATCTTTGTTGCTTAGCACAGAGAAAAGACTACAAGCGAGGCATTAAAAAACAACAACCCTGCTATTCCAACACTGCAACTTAATCTGGTTGATTCCAAGCAGAGGATCTAAAATGCCAAGTAGAGGATCTTTTTAAAATTAATAAATGGATCACCGAGGGATTGCAATAGCATTTCAGGTTTTTTATTGGTGGACATTACTGCCAACATGTTATGACAGCATAATTTACAAATTAGGCAGTGGATGAATGTGTTGTTATTACAGGTTTAGCACCAATCCTACAAACACTAATTTGAGTAGCTCAGGGCATCCAAAAGCAAGTGGCCAACTGAGCCAAGGGCAAATAATTTTAACTATAACCTGGGCTTTTATTTATTTATTTATTATTTATTTTATTTCACTTATACCCGGCCCTCCCTGCAAGCGGGCTCAGGGCGGCTTACATAGGCACAACTGTGCAATAAAATACAACAGGATTATCTCCAGAATTCCACTGTTAATACATATGAATGTACTTGGTGGACACTGGGCATCTCTCATGACAGCTGTAGTTGATTCTTCTTCTATACGGCACAGCATAGGATTGTACTCTGATACAAAGGCAACTCAGTTCTAGTGTTGGAAGTATGCCCTATCACCTGCCCTTATATAACCCAGGAGCACCAATGTACGTTGCTTCAACAAACAAACAAAAAATGTCAAGGAAGACACAAAGAAGCTGGCACATGCAGTGATGCCAACACAGGCCTGAGCCAGCTAAGAGCTTCCACAACAGGTTCAGATTCTCTTCATACTTTTGGAGGAAAGCAGGGTAAAGTTAGATGCTTGCCTGGCATCATATGGCGCTGTAGATATTGTGATGCTCTGCTCTAGCCATGACAAGTTACAGGAGAGGACAGGGTCAGGCTGCAAATGAAGTTGCTTCCACACTACTCATTTGGTTTGGAATGGTCATGTTGAAATGGAATGTTATGTTACATTTGGTTTTTACAGAGAATCCAGACAGTCCTGCTCTCAACCAGATTGGTTTCAGTGCTATCCTTGTTGTCCTCCCAACGTTTTCAGACTTGGGTTTATGGCAGTTTTTGCAATTACAAGGCAATATTGAACGTTCTTAGGGCTACTGACATTTTAAACTTTGCTGATTTATTTGAGACCTGGTTTCCTTATTTATTCAGTTACTTCCTGCTTACTTTTGGTGGACACAGAATTCCTGAATTAATTATCAGTTCTTAGCACGATTTTCAGCAGTTTTTTCAGCAGGATTAATAGCAACATTAAGAGACTAGACCTCTTCATAGTGTCTTGTTCAAGCTGAAGCCCTGCAGAACATGGAAAATTCCTGCTCTCTGAGCACCAAGGCCAAACTAAGAGAGAGAGAGAGAGAGAGAGAGATAAGGGTGGGTGGGAGGCAGTTCACAGGTGCAAGAAGTATCATCAGCCCTAAATGTTTCAAGGCCACTCTAAGAGGCCTGCAGATTCCATCTACTTAATGCAAAGATTTATGGGAGCTTGTTAATCAGATCTGATGTAAGTGCAGAATACCAGACAGTAATTGGCAATCTCACCAGATTGGTTATTTCACCTGGTCAGCAACACCAATGGTCAGTTGGGTTACATCATTGGGCCTACTTCTGATTGGCTAGCCTGAATCATGCCAGTGCAGGCTGCAAGGCATAAAGTAAGATCCTTCATTCTAGCTTGAATACACTTAGCTGTAATTTGGAGATTTTACCATAGCTGTCTTAGTGCCTGTTCCTTGACCTAAAGCCTTGCTTGTAGATACTTTGGATGGGGTGGGCTAAGAAGGCTGGGCACCTGTTGATTTTGGACTTTGAAGCTACCTTGGACTCTGCCTTGTTAAGTAGCCTCTGGATTAGAGAACCAGTGTTTTGCAAGGTTCTAGGACTAGCTATTTAGCTTATTGTCACTGTTCTTTGGTTGTGTTTGTAGATTCCTGTACATTCTTTTAATAAAGCAAATTAATTATATTTTGATGTGTTATTGCATTCCAGAGGCTTCAGTGTGAATTCAGTACCTTGGCTGGGACAGCTACAGCTACCAAAGTAACTCATTTTGAGTAACATCTCACTCTGTGAGTGTGCAACCTTGCAGGGTGGGTTGGTTTTGTTTGCTGCCCCACTCCTTTTGACATTATGAATCCACAAAAAGTGAATGAGAAATTTGTCTACAAAAAGAAAAGCAGTAATTAAAGCACCCACCCTCCCACAGGAACAAGACCAAATAGTTAAGGATCAATCCAGGAATCCTACAGCCACCATGAGTTATCAGGAAGTTACTAATTAAACATAGAAACAAAATGGCTGTAAAACAAAAGGGACAATTTAAAGGAACAGTCACAAGGAGAAGTGGAATCTTTTGTTGAATAGAATCTATTTCCCAGTAAATGTATTGTAGAATTTTGCCTACATGGGGATGGGCATTTCTGGATCTTTATGCAGAATGTAGTGCTATTTTAATTCTGCATGCAGTTGACTGTAGAAATGGAACAACTGATCAACGCAAAAGAATCCTAGCATGGAAGCAACCACAGAGAAGGCTTCTATAGAGTTCTCTGCACATTCAAAGTGGTATAATGATAATACTGCTGATTATCCTAACTCATTTTTCCTACCCTTTCTTAACATGCTGATCAAAGCAATTACTTGCACATGCAAATGAGTCTTCCAAGATGAATCACCACAGAATAGAACTTGCATAGCATCCAATATTTACTCTAATTCAATACTTCTCATGGGAGGGCAGTCAAGTCCACACATACAACTGCCAGTCACAAAGTGTAGTCCGGAGATGTACATGCACATCTTAGATGTCGATAGTTCTCCTGTATCTTCCATCTACCAGAACCATATGCCAATTCGGTTAAAATGCATAGGACTTCAGCGTACTCAAGGTCCCTAGAGGTTACCTGTCCAAGGTGACAGACAGCAAGCCACTTGCTTCCTCCAGCAGCATCCTTGCTCCTTTAATTTATCTATATATTTATTATTTCAATTTCAATTTATATCCCACCTTGCCGGACAAGCTGGCTCAAGGCCACCAAGGAAGACTGGGTTGCTGTGCAAAGGAAGGCAGTGGCAAACCACCTCTGCTCATCTCTTGCTGTGCAAACCCCATAATCTTGGCGTCACCATGAGTTAGTTGTGACTGGACAGCAGACAATTATTATTATAACCTCATCTCTCTGTGGTTAATGTGCTCTGTTGAATTTGCTGCCACCTGACAATAATTCTGGCTCATTTCCACCCTTTGATGTAGACTGAATTTATTGCTTTTATACTGCGTTTTGTTTTAAGCCTTGTTCTTCACTTTGGGAGTCATTTGTTCATGAACATGAATTCTCTAAATGATTCTGAAACACAGAAATAATCATGACAAAGAAGCAAAATTCCCCAGACACATGTGGACACAGAGCCAGTGTGGTGTAATGGTCAGAATGGAGGGCTAGGAACACTCTGGTTCAAATCCCTACTCAACTGTGAAGTTCACCAGGTGACCATTCACTCAGTCTAACTGACCTCCCAGGATCATAATGAATCAAAAACAGAGAACCATATGACACCCCGAGTCTCCTAATCAGTTGAGAATTACTGCTTCCAAGCCTGGTTCATAATGCCTGTTCTCATCTTAGAAAACCGCTCCACTGAGTGGTGACAGACGTGCATGAATAAGCCACTAGAGGCCACAGGCTGAAGACTGAGCTTTTCTTGGCACCTCAAACACAACAATCCTTCAATGGAGACAGTTCACGCACTCAACAGAGAAATCTTGCAAGTGTGAACTGACCCTTCAGCTAGTCAAAACATGCTAAAATAAGGAACATGTGCTATCTTAAAGAGGTCTTTCTGTAACTCAGAATGTACTGTCCAGAATCTCATGCCTTGTTAAGAAAGTGTAATGGATGAAATTAATCTAAAATTATTTGAGCTACCATGTGCCGCCCTGCATGCTAAAGCCTGGGATTAGGATTGCATGCACTAATATTTGAGGAGCACATGTTGGGATCACCCTGCCTTTTTACTGAGAGTTGAACAGAGATGCTTCGGGGTGGGGGGTTCCCTCTGCAACCCTGAGGAATGAGAGCAAAATCATTTTGATCTGATAATAGCAGAATGGAAATATCTGCTGCAAAGCACATCCCTGTTGTAAGGAGAGTGCAGTTCGTCTAGGAGGGATATGGAGAATCCACCAGATGTGAAAACCCAGCTATTCCAAGTATACGCAAGACAGCCCATCAGTGGATTAGTATCTTCTCACATGCACAAAGCTATCTCAGGTCACCATGTATTTTCAGCCACTTCATTTAAACAAAAGGAGATGGCATGAAGACCCAGTGATCGTGCTACAAGTTCAGCAGCTAAGCAGCATATACATGCTGGGACATCACCTGATGCTTGCCACATCGTGGACACTTAGTTGCGGAAATCACAGATAAGACAAATATGGACAGAACATTTCTGTCATCTCATGTCACCTCAACCACAGTGCTCTACATGGATTCAGTGTGCACTAAGCAGGGCAGAGGAATCAAGTGCAGTAGATATACATAGTAATGCAACTGAGGGCCACTTTTCATATTCTGCGCTACCCAGTGTGACAGCATAGGTCTGACTGACACATAAACATTCATCACTCATCAACTGTAGAATTCAGTGATGATGGGCTGCATGGATGCTTTGGCTGTCACGGGTTAATTGCTGTAGATGCAAATTTTTACTTTGCTCCCAGTGGACTCAGACACTGTAATTGTCACTGCAGACAGGTCACACAGAAAACTGTCAAGCATTGGGTAAACTGAGTGATCTACATGCAGGTGTGAACGATTGTTGACTCAAAAGAGATATTCCTGTCTTGACATTTCCCACGCTGCTGGTTTAGCAGCAAGTTTCCAAGCCAGGGCATTTTAGGAGGAGCCCATTTATCTCCAGCCAGAGCA